TGCTCTTCACAAACAGTTATGTCTCCTTTTTTGGTGTTTTCATGCAAATTCTTCTACTAGTTGGGGTTTAGTCCACTTCTATATCTTTCCCTTCAAACTCAGGGATCCAGATTATCTTCTGTATCTGTGTTGATTGGTTCCCCTTTTCTTTGTTGAAGAGGGTCTGTCCAGTCTTTCTGCCTATTCCGCCATTTTACCAGAACTCCTGGTTTTTGTTTTTTTAATAAGCATAACAGCAATGAATACTTACATTAGATAGCCAGGGGAGGGTAGTGCAACATGCCATCTCTTGTCATAAACATCTGGGTATCAAACTAGGCAGTCATTAGGACTTTGGGAGAGTAACATGTAGGGTGACAAGTTTAATGGAGACCTGGGGAAGGATAAACCAGGTGAGGCACCAGGCCGGGACATCCAAACAGTTGGGGAAGTTGGATTCTGGTGAGGATAGAGTAAAGGTGAAAGGGAAAGTCAAGGATAGCTGGGAAAGGAAGTTGGAAACCAGCAGTGTCTTGTAATAGTCCTATTCAGATACTCCGGGCCCCTGGCAGCTGGCCTGACAGAAGGCTCTCACCCTTGTACTCAAGGTTTCTTGACTCCCTCAGCTTTCCTCCTCCATGTTTGCTTTAGCAGTCTGCTTGGTAAGAGGCATAGAATGCTGTAACAAGAAGTGGGTGGAAAGGGTGCATTGCTCTCTTGACTGTGCTGCCCTGTCTGGTGGCAGCAGTCTCTCTGTTTCTCCTCCAGGAGAGGCAGATGATGAAGACCTTCCCTCATCTCCTCAATATTAATGAAGATCCCCAGCTCACCGGTGTGCTCAAGTACTTCATTCGTGCTGGTATTGACTCCCTGTGATCTACTCCCACACTGCTAAGCTTCTTGCCCCACAAGCATAGTCCTCATTACCACATTTCTGTGGTTTCTGAAGAGGAATCAGTCTTTGAAATTTCTTCTTGAGCTAAATGAATACTGAATACTTTGGAATACAGCATTCAATATTGCAGTAACAGCTGGCATTCCTCACCCCAGCCACTATGCACACCCAAGATAGGTAGGCTTTGTGAAGGATGGCAGGGGAGAGAGGGACAGCCCATCCAGAAAGGTCGGCCATGATGTTGCCCACACCTTCCACATGATCAGTCCCCAGACAGAAAGAGAGCTTTAGAAAGCAGTTCCTTTCCTGTTACTGTATCCTAAGGCCAAGACTCAATAGCCCCTTCTTCCACAATTCACATGATGCAGGTGAAACTTTAAAGAAAGAAGTTAGGAATCCCATCAAAAGGGCAGAAAGTGCAAAAATTATCCATAAAGCAAGATGATATCCAAGTACCACTATGATTGAAAATTCTAATGGGAAACTTCCTTTGCATGATCCTATTGGAGAGAAAATGTTACTTCCAAAATATCAAACATCTTAATAAGGTCAAATCCTGAAGAAGTTTGAAAATTCATTATTTTAATTCTTTACAGGTTCATGTGATGCTGGTAAGGCTGCTTCAAATGCTATCACTCTTCAAGGTCTGGGGTAAGTTTCTATGAATTCTTATCTTTGAGCTTCTCAAAGATCATCTGGTCATCATCAGCCAGACCACAAATCCTTCTGAACAGCTAAGAGTGAAAAATTTATCAGGCTTCTTGAGTGGTCCACTTAATACTTATCTAACAAAGCTTCTTGTTTGTTAGTTTGTCATACTGTGGTGGCTTGTGTGTTTCTACGGTGCTGGAAGCTATACCATTGGTATTTTAAATACTAGCAGGGTCATCCATGGTGGATAGGTTTCAGTGGACCTTTTAAACTAAGACAGACTAGGAATGGGTATGGTCAGGTCCATTTCTGAAAACACTGGCCACTGAAAACCTTACAAATAGCAGGGAAACATTGTCTGACATAGTCGCAGGAGATGAGCCCCTCAGGTTGAAATGCGCTCAAAATATGACTAGGGAGGAGCTGCCTCCTCAAAGTAGAGTTGATCTGAATGATGTGGATGGAGTACACAGTGGTGCAATGATGGGCCCAAGCATGACAATGATCCTCAGGATTGTGCAGGACTGGGCAGTGCTTTGTTCTATCATTGATATGAGTTGGAACCAACTTGATGGCACCTAACAACAAAGTTTCTGGGAAGGGCCTTTTCCCTCTAACTGAAATCCATCCTTCTCTGGTCACTTTGTGTTTCCTTGGCTCTTGGGAGAAGTAAGAAATTCAATTGCCAGATGCTGTATGATAATTCCTCACTAGTAGTACCCACAGATCTGGCTAGTAAATAAAGAGAGTTAAATGACAAGCCTTTCATAGTCTCATTGCTAAGGCAAAAGCATTCTTGGGCTCTGTTTGGAGTCCTCACTGGCTGGATTAACAGAAAGCCTAGACTTTGGGGGTGATCTTCTCCCCAGGGCTCCTTCAGGAGTTCCCTACAAGAGTCTGTGAAACCGTGTGGGAGGTTTCATAAAGCAAGAGCTGTCTCCCCTGCTCTGCTGGTATGGGAACACTGCTCCAGGGCTCTCGCTCTTCCTCTCAGGACCATGGGATCCTAACTGTCATCAGGCTTCCAGCCAGCAAAGCATGGTCAGCTCTTTCAGGAAGAAGCCTGTCCCACATGTATCTCAGGCCTCTCTGAGCTAAAGCATACAGACCCGTGGGAATGTCTGTGGAGGAGGACATGCTGAATGGGCTGGTTGGCATTGCCTCACCCTGTGCTACCTCACCCTGCACTGCCAGCCCCTAGCCTGTTCCCTTAGATAATCCCGGAACTCCCCTCACTTGTCTTTCCAGACCAGTTCCCGTGGGAACTCTTTTGCACCCGACACACATCTGTAAATGGCTGAACTCTAATGATGGGCTGAGATTAAGGCCTTACCCACAGGACCCCAGGCCCCATGCACACAAGGGATATGGAAGGACATGTGTCTCAACATCCAGAACATTCCATGGTAGCCAAGGAGTCCAGGAATATCCTAAAACAGTTAGAAAGCTGGTCATTCAGGGAAAACAAGGGGCAGCCAACCTGATATCTCTGACTTCCAGTTCCAAATCTTACAGCATATGAATGCATAAGATGTAGACCCAGAAACAGTCTTAAATTATCTGTAATATGGACGGTTCATTATTAAGCCACCATGCCAAGATTCTCTTCTCACACCTCTTTGATCTCTTTTCATTGTCTGCACCACCCAATCCCACTGCACTACCAGTGTCTAAGAACTCTGGCTATTACCTCTGGATCATCTGGCACCTTGCAGCTATAGGCCCCCAGGTGGTGTTTATCCTGTTAATAAGGCACTTCATTGTCTCTGTCTTTGCATGCTCCTTGAGGGCAGAGTCTTTCTGTCCCTTCTGCACCCACTTTTCTGTCCCACTCTCCATGAGCCACAGCATGCAGTAGAAGCCCAGAAAATACTCCCAGCTGTTCTTCAGCAGCTGTAGACAGTAAAAATGAGAAAGAACAACCAAAACAGTTCACTAAAATCATCATTTACTTGGTGCCTTAGACAAACTCTTCTGTCTTTTTAGAATTTTAGATAAACATGCTTCCTTCACAAATATGGATGGTAAAGTGACAGTAACTCCGCACAGCAAATGCAACGTTGTCGTTAATGGGGTGCCAATCACAATGAAGACAAAGCTGCAGCATCTGGTAAACTTTCCCATGGGGCCACATAAGCCTGGTGTCATAAGCCTGATCTGAGCATCCAGACAGGATGTCCCTGTGGATGTGCTACATGAGACATCTAAGGGACCATAAAACCCATAGCGAAGGCTGCTCACCACCGACATGTGCCTCTGTCCTAGCACTATGGTAATCACTTGATCTCTTCCTCACATGA